ATGAATTAATGAATGAAAACAATAGACTTTTACATGAAATTCAATGTTTGAATGAAATGAAAACACATTTATTTAAAATTCACTCAAAATATGAAACACTTATCGATTCAGAAGACAATCAACACTTCCGGACATTATCTCAAACTTTAGATCAATTGAGTGTCCAAAACATCACTTCATGTTTTTTCTATGGATTACATATACGACTGAAGAGTCCATCAAATGATCAACAAATGAGACAAAGATATGAAACACAAAAAGTGAATCAAAGTATTGATGATAACAGCGATGGCGTGAATGAAGACATATGTGACAACTCGTGTGACAGCAATGGTCTGGAGTTGGGATCAGATATCAAAGGAGAACCGGAAGGTATAGAACCGATGAATACAACTAATAATGAAATGAACACTCAATTCAATACTGATTTATTGATATCTCAATCCATACCACAAGATATGGCCGACGAAGACAGTAGTGAAGAGTCGATGAGAACGACACCAACGATACAATCGATGTCTGAATACTTGAGACACAATAAGTCCGAAAGAAAGAAATGCTTTAATGTAACCAAAAATCTATTCATTTGTCCCATCAATGAGTGCCACAAGAGTTACCAAAAGGACCGCCAGTTTTTGCAACACTTGTACACATTTCACGCCCAAAGGCAGCACATCTGCGCTCACGAGGGATGCGGTAAAGGGTTTAAGACAAACGGCGGACTCACTGAGCATATGCTGTCCCACCGGACGGTGCGATCGTATGCGTGTCATTACGAGGGTTGCGATTATCGCGGTGTCAGCGATCGGGTTGTGTACAAACACATGAAATCGCATACAAGTGGCCAACCGTTTCGCTGTCGGGTCGACGGCTGCGATAAGTCATTCAAGACATCCCACGGTCTTAGGGCTCACTCGCGCTTACATCTGGACGAGCCTACCATCGCGTGCGGCGCCGACGGCTGCGACGAGTGGTTCTTTAGGGCCGACCAACGGCTCAAACACCAGATCGATGTCCACAATAGGCGGCCGCCGACGCGAAAGACAAAGCAGCGAAAGCAGCCGTGCGATTGGCCCGGCTGTAAGTGGACGGGTATACACCTCAACGGCCATAAGCGTAGGCATACGGGTGAGCGACCGTTTGTGTGCGATTGGCCCGATTGCGACAAAACTTATAAAGACAGCCGTCGACTACGGGAGCACAAGAATGTGCACAACAATGTGCGCCCATTCGTGTGTCAATGGCCCGGATGTGAGTACACGACCACCGCTTCCGCCTATTTGTTTAGTCATAAAAAGTTTTTTCACAAATTTGTTTAATTTGTGAATTTCATGTCATTTGTTGTGTATTTGAATTTAAATTAAATTATTATTAATAAATTATTGGTTATATAAGTCAACACACTTTGTACTTTGTATTTAAGTGATTACGTTTTGAATGAATGCTAATATTTGAGTAATAATGAGAGATTCAAATGACAGGTGCTATGAATCAATCAATCACTTCATTTCACACCTCTTCTCCCGAGAAGTCTATGAATTAAAGTCGACATAAAATTGTTTTCTGGCACTCATTTCTATCATTATATACTCCGATTGTCATTACAGATACAGTGCATCCTCTCTGTAAGGAACGGCCAGTTGTCAGTCAAATATGTGCGAAATAATATGAAATTGTATGAATTATATTTATCTATAGGAATGAAAATATTAAATGACATTTAATTCAAACAAATTATACTCGTATAATAACTTATCGATAAATTTTATCAGATAGACTAAACATATACAATGTAAATGTATTATATTTAACGACCTTGTACTATTAATTCAATGTTTGCCTGTTGTTTGACAATCGACTCTCTCCGCCATCAATAATCATTACAACAAATACTAAATTAATTTGTAATTATTCATATCATTCATGCATTGATTTGATGTATAAAGTGTTGTATTTTGTAATTTAGTTGTTAAATACAGTCAGTATTGTAAATAAAATCTAAGAAATCAATAATTAAAAGTTTAATATAAATGTGTGAAAAATCAGTACATAAAGTGTGTGGTGTTTGCGGACACTTGGCATTAGGTATTATGATATATTGTTAATAGAAATTTTATCATAGTTTACCTGGTAAACTTTACCAAAATAATTGATATAAATATAGTGTAATTTATTTTACAATTTATAATGTAAATAATATTTAATTGTCTGAATAATTATATTAAAAATTAATTCAATTAAAGGCAAAAACTTCGGCGGTATGTCGTGTGAGGCCTGCAAAGGATTCTTTAGGAGAAACGCATTGAAAAATAATGTAAAATCAAATAAATTTTTATTTATTACAGTTATATAAGAAAAAGTATAAAACTATTAATTGTGATCATTATCTGTGAAATTGCAGTTTAAATGTCGTTTTGGCAACAATTGTAGTATAAATACCATAACACGAAAGTTTTGCCCAAAATGTCGTTTAGATAAATGCCTGGCAATCGGAATGAGACGGGTATTCATATTATGTTAAATTTATTATAAAATATAACAATTAAATGATTATTTAAACAGGAATTCATACCGAGTGATGAGGAAAAGGAGCTGAAAAGAGTTACAAAGTTGCCAAATAATAGTTTAAATAATTCAACAAAAATTAACCACGCTAAAAATAAAGTTATAAATTCAACCAGGGAAGTATTGATTGGAAATAATATCATAGATACGACTACTTTGGACACAGACTTCTTGAGTGAAATACTGGATGACAACAATTTCAGTGTCGATGCACTCAATGAACAGATTATAGACATTGAGACCAGTATTGGCGCAAATGATAGTCAAGTAATAAACACTTGTGATTATCAGATAAACAATATCTCAACAGATAATCAACAAAACAGTGATAATTATACGCAAAACTCATTAACACATTATTATTCACCGGAAAGTATCGGCGAAAAAGTAGTGTCGGGGTATGAGATGCCTGTCATACCCATCGACCGACCCATCGATGGCCACAAAAGTGATTTTAACGAGATTGAAATCTACATAATCACTGAACTGATCCAATCGACTGAATTTCGATCATTCGGCACAAATTCTGTGTTTATCAGTGATAATAATGGCTTTAACTTTATATTTGCCGAAAAGTTTGACAATTATGTGCGAAATGTAACCCAAGCTGTGAAAGGGTTGACCGCATTCAACACCATCTGCGAAGACGACCGCATCTTACTATTGAAGTACAGCTGCATTGAAGTGATATTCTTGCGGTCCATTCTCTGCCTCAACGATACCGCCGATTATATCAAACTTTATAGGGTTTGTGTCCCAGAAATAATACTTTGTTTTTATATTATAATAATTAATTATAATTTTGTAGATTAATTAGCTATGTTTATTATAGGACACCGATAGTATTTTTATTTTAACCATGGACTTCTTGAAAAATTACCACAATTTTTATGCTTCGTATAAAAATTTTGTAACAAAAATGTTGACTATTTGGGACTCCGATCGCACTGTCATTAATTTGGTATAAGTTATGATTAATAATAAAAAACTAATTATGAAGTTTACAGAATTTTTAAAATTAATTTCAGATGTATCCAATTTTGGTGTTTAACCCAGATCACTGTAACCTCACCCATAGAGCTGTTGTCAAGTAATATTTTGACACTTAAATAATACTTCTTATTCTAATTAATTGTAATATTCTTATAATAGACTCCAACAACACATTTACATGCATTTACTTCAACGCTATTTATTACTGAAATATCGGTCAGAATCGGAGGCAAAGACCCGATTCTCGCAATTCATGAACATTTTGACGGAACTAAACGTCTTGAGAGACATCCAGAGGACGCATACTTTGGATCAATCACTGAATGTCACACCTCTTCTACAAGAAGTGCTCGATTTAAAGCCGAGTCATAATTGTTTTTAATTGTCATTAATTATTATAACCATAATATCTGTATTTACTATCTAATTTATGTTATTGTTATAGCATTTATCATAAATAATAATTGCATTTTATGTATGCAAAATAAATTCTAAAAATAAAACATGTGCAATTGTTTTGTGTTTTTACAATTTAATACATTTAATGCTATTTTTGTACCAATTATGCAGTGATTATGTAATAATTATGTGATTCCCAAATATTTAATATAATCAAAAGTATTTGATATAAAAATTATAAACACTATTACTATAACCATCTAATTATGATAGTTAAAACTTATTTTTTAAAAATAGAATAAACATACTTTCTTAAAGTTTAGGGTATAAAACATAATTACTTATATCCTATAATAACAATACGGTTAAAAGTTATTACTTAAGAATATGAAATTCAAACTATTCACAATGTGAATTTCACATTGTCAAATTTAAATAGCCTTGACAATAGGCTATTAATTCAATGCTTAATGGATTAAAACTAGTTTTACAGGCAATCTGTGGCCGATTCTCAACCATCATTAATAAATACATGAATGATAATAATTGAAACCCAACATAAACACACTGTTATACGCAAACTCTTGGTTAATATCGACAGTATATTTCTGGTACTAAAATCATTAAATCATTTCCAGTTTTATAATACAGTAATTGTACACATGGTTAAGAAGGAAAAATATATCAATTAGTTTTGAATTGAGTTTTTGTTGTGTATATTTTTAGTATTTAGTAGTTTTTAGCTATAGTGTATTATTTAAATTGAATGCTATTTACAGCTAACGTATATCCACTTTCATCGAGAATATCAATGTTATTATTTATTTATTTGAAAAATTAGTTTTATGTCAATATTGAAAAAATGTGTTAATAAAGATAGAAATATACAACTCATCGGTAAATATAATTATCAATGTATTATTTACCAAGTTCATCAAATGGGACTATTATAATTATATATGGGAGTTTCAATGCAAACGTCTTGCAACAAGTTGGCAAGAATTCAAGCTTTCAATTAATTTAGCTATTAATAATAATTGTTAAAAATTAAAACTTAAAACATGTTAACAAAATAATTGTTAATTAGTTAATAATGTGCGATAAATTAGTTCATAAAGTGTGTGGTGTTTGCGGACACTCGGCTATGGGTATGAGTTATATAATTAGTTTTGTAAACATATAATCATTTTATTTACAAAAATATTTAAACAAAAAAGATATAAAAATATATTTTATCGTAAAAATACATAATAATTGGAAAAATATATTTAAAATTAAAATTATTAATTAAAGGTAAAAACTTCGGCGCCGTTTCGTGTGAGCCCTGCAAATCATTCTTTAGGAGAAACGCGTTGAAAATAAAGGTAATATAAATATATTATTTATGCTTTTATTAATTTTAATTAAATAGTAGTTATTAATTATAACTTATAATTATTATCTATGAAATTATAGCTCATTTGTCATTTTGACAACAAATGCAAATTAGATGTCATAACCAGAAAATTTTGCTCTAAATGTCGTTTAGATAAATGCCTGGCCATCGGAATGAGACGGGTATTCATATTATGTTTAATTTAATACAAGTTTTAAATAATTTACTAATTGTTTGCTTATAATCCAAGGAATGGATACTCAATGATGAGGTACAAGAGCTCAAAAGACCTAAAACAATGACAAATAAAATACAGAGAAATAATTTAAACAATTCAATAACTAATGAACTAAATAATTACCATGGTCAAAATACAACACCATATTCATCTCAGGAAACTTCATGCATTGAAAATCACATCTCAATCACCAGCACTTCCGACACAGACTTTTTGAGTGAAATACTCGATGACAACAATTTCAGTGTCGATGCACTCAATCAACAGATTATAGACATTGAGACCAGTATTGGCGCAAATGATTGCATTAATAATCAAGTAATAAACACTTGTGATTATAAGACAAACCATATCTCAACAGATAATCATCAAAACAGTGATAATTATACGCAAAACTCATTAACACATTCTTATTCACCGAAAAGTGTCGGCGAAAAAGTAGTGTTAGGGTATGAGATGCCTGTCATACCCATCGGCCGACCCATCGATGGCCACAGAACTGCTTTTAACGAAACCGAAATCCACATAATCACTGAACTGATCCAATCGACTGATTTTCGATCATTCGGGACAAATTCGGTGTTTATCAGTGATAATAATGACTTTAACTTTTTATTTACCGAAAAGTTTGACAATTATGTGCGAAATGTAACCCAAGCTGTGAAAGGGTTGACCGCATTCAACACCATCTGCGAAGACGACCGCATCTTACTATTGAAGTACAGTTGCATTGAAATGATATTCTTGCGGTCCATTCTCTGCCTCAACGATAACGCAGATTATCTCCGACTTCAAAGGGTTTGTGTCTATAATTTATTGTAATTATATACGTATGTGTATTGTAACCATGTTTATTATAGGACACGGATAGCATTTTCATATTAACCATGGACTTTTTGAAAAATTACCAGAATATTTACACTTCGTATAAAAATTTTGTAACAAAAATGCTGACTGTTTGGGACTCCGATCGCATTCTCATTAATTTGGTATAAGTTATATGAATAATAATAAACAACTAATTATGAAGTTTATTTCAGATGTATCCAATCTTGTTGTTTAACCCAGATCATTGTAATCTCGTCCATAGAGCTGTTGTCAAGTAGTATTTTGACACTTTATAATACTTCTTGTTTTAATTAATAATTGTAATATTCTTACCATAGACTCCAACAACACATTTACATGCATTTACTTCAACGCTATTTATTACTGAAATATCGGTCAGAATCGGAGGCAAAGACCCGATTCTCGCAATTCATGAACATTTTGACGGAACTAAACGTCTTGAGAGACATCCAGAGGACGCATACTTTGGATCATTCACTGAATATCTCACCACTTCTACAAGAAGTGTTTGATTTGAAACCGATTCCCAACACAATTGTTGACTAATTTAATGGTTCTGTGGAGTAAAGCCTGTGATAAGGACCTCAACACCCGATGCTGACGACGGAACAGCTTTAATGACGACAACCGAATTAACTATTAATGAAATTAATTGTTTATGTAATTAATTTAAAAACAAACTAGATGTTTAAACAGGAATCATATACTGTTTATTAAACATCAGTATATTTAAATGCAATTAATAAACCATACAATAGTAGTCAAACATTATATACATTATTAAATGAAATCATAATATTATACAAAAAAATAATTCAAATAAGATATTTCATTGAAACAAATTGTAATCATATGTTTAATAAACAGTATATTTATTGAACAAAATAAATGCAATATTAAATATTCATTAAATACTTATACAATAATTGTGCAACAGAAAAAAATTATTACTGTATATTCAAAAAATATAAATAAAATATATCTTAATGCTTAATACCTTAATGCTGGTACAGGATATAAAGCTTAATTTAACAATACACTTAATAAATGTGTAAAATGAGGTAAAAATATAAAATTGCTTATAAAACAGTGAGTGAGTATTGTTGTCGTTGTTGAACGGGTTTGATGTCTAGTACTTCCTCGAGAAGCGGTGGAATCGATATCTTCGCACTCTCTTCGATATTCCTCTTGTGAACCTCTCTTAAGACATTTAAATCGATGATAATATTCATGAGTTGCAGGAATCGTGTCTTCGCTTCGCAATCGGATCCATATTTGCATTGCAAATACCGTTGAAGTAAATACATGTAAATGTGTTGTTGAAGTCTATGTGTGACAGATATATCATAAACACGATGTCATTAAATATATGGTAAATAATGGAAATGTCAAAAATGCAATTGTATTGTGATTTATATTAAAATCAATATCAATTGCACGCAAAATAAATACACAAAAAAAATGATAAATATAATTAAACTTACTTAATGACATTTTTGTTGGCTAGGTTACAATGATCAGGATTGAATACGATTATTGAATACATCTAGATTAAAAACATAATTAGGCACAAATTGAATTTTACAAAATTTAACTAATTGTATACCAAATCAATGATAGTCCTATCGGAGTCCCAAACGGCTTGTATTTTTTGTATATAACTTTTGTAAGCGTTATAAACGTTAAAGTTTTTTAAATAGTCCATGCTCAAAATAAACGACCTATCACGATCCTAATCAAAACAACATGGTATCCATTATCTCAAAACCAAACCATAAAACATGATAATTTTCAGGACTACTAACCACTTGAACCCGAACACAATCGGCGGTATCGTTGAAGTAGAGAATGGACCGCAAGAATATCACTTGTATTGAGCTGTACTTTAGGAGCAAAATCTTGTCCTCTTCGCAGATGGTGTTGAATGCGGACAACCCTTTGACAACTCTGGTAAGGGTTCTGATCGCTCGGTCAAACTTATAGCCCATAATGGAGTAATAGTCGTCGGTGTTGTTGATCTCGATGGTTGTGCCCCGCAATGGTAAGCCCATGAGCTTGGTCGCTTCGAGCAGCTCGATGAGCAAGTTCATTTCCATCTGGTTAAAACTAGTTTTGCTGGTATCGATGGGTCGCCCAATCGGTATGACAGACATCTCAAACTCGACCACTTTGTCAAACACTTTGTCGGATACGGCAAATGTGGTGAATGTGTTTTGTATGCAATTGTTATCACTGTTTAGCGAGTCATCCGCTGTTGAGGTAGCGATGGTTTGATCACCGAATTCATTGATTACTATATTGTCGATGAATTGGTTGACATCAATACTGGTCTCGATGTCCACAATATGTTCATTGAGTGCATCGATAGTGAAGTTATTGTCGTCGAGTAATTCGCACAAGAAGTCTGTGTCGGAAGTACTGGCGCTTGAAATGTGATTTTCAATGCGTGAAGTTTCCTGAGATAAATATGGTGTTGTATTTCGACCATGTTCATTATTTTGTTCATTATTTATTAAATTGTTTAAACTATTTCTTTGCATTTTATTTGTCATTGTTTTAAGTCTCTTGAGCTCCCGCTCCTCATCATTGAGTATCCATTCCTTGAATTTTAAGCAAATAATCAACAAATTATTTAACACTTGTATTAAAGTAAACATAATATGAATACCCGTCTCATTCCAATGGCCAGGCATTTATCTAAACGACATTTAGAGCAAAACTTTCTGGTTATGACATCTAATTTGCATTTGTTGTCAAAATGACAAATGAGCTATAATTTCACAAAATAATTATAAGTTATAATTAATTACCACTATTTAATTAATATTAATAAAAGCATTAATAATATATTTATATTACATGTTCTTTCAACGCGTTTCTCCTAAAGAATGCTTTACAGGGCTCACAGGAAACGGCGCCAAAGTTTTTGCCTTTAATTAATGATATAATTAATAATTTAATCGTTAAATTAAAATTGTTAAAAATTTTTAGCAAATAAAATGATGATATATTTACAAAACTAATTATATAAGTCATACCCATAGCCGAGTGTCCGCAAACACCACACACTTTATGCACTGATTTGTCGCACATTATTAAATAATTAT